ACTATTTGTACCCACTTTGGACTAAAAGATTATTTGATTATACTTTAATTATTTGAAGACATGTACTTTATGAATGCTAGAGAGGTCACTATTAACAAGACCGTGAGACTAACCATGCTGATTCTGAGAGCAATGAATGGAATGTAAATGACTAGTACCATTATTAGTTAATGTTAGTTGATTCCTATTGCTAAATAAAGTACTGGGACTTGTATGCTCAGAAAGGGGTACTGAGCCCAATTTTATCTTCCAACCTGGTTTTGCCATCCTTTCTCTCATCACTAGCAGAGAACAAAGAAAAATATAGAACATGTTTATGTCCATAGTTATTTGTACAGATCTGTGAAGATGTCTTTTTGAAAAAGAAGTCATCTTCGGATAAGATGAAGTTAAGGCAAATTGAATTTTTATTTGCTTTGACATAGATTGGAATCAGTGATGTGATATTTTTTTCCCTTCTGTGTAGAGAGGAGAAAGAAAATCATCTTGATAAATCTCCTTGACTTTCCTCAAGGTGTTCAGTATCTTTCTCTTTGGAAAAAGCAACAGGGCATTTTGACACGGCTTTGACCCTCAGGTTGATAAACTTATGCTTGTAGCCTATTGCTACCAAGATTTTGACGGGGACAAATATTCAGTTCCTATATTCATTAGTTTATTCATTCGACAATCAATGCTATAGATACATCTGGGAACACAACCAAGTCGCTGTTCTCATAGAGTTTACATTCTAGCAGGAGAGACACAGACAATAACAACTCAACATATAGTAAGTTGGGGGATAATTTGGTATGCTATGGAGAAAAAGCAGGGACTTGGAATAGGAAGCATGCAAGAGGGTATGATTTGGCAGAGACCTGAAGAAAGTGAGAGACTGAGTCATGTGGCTGTGTAGGGGAAAAGTTTTCCAGGTAGTGGCCATAGGCCCTGAGGTTTGAGAGTACATGGCAGGCTCGAGGAAGAACCAGAAAGCCAGTGTGGCTGAAGTAAAGTGCTAAAGGGAGAATGGAAGGCAAGGGGTGAGTGAAGAACCCTGGACTGATCACACATAGCCTGTGGACCACTGTGAGGATCTGGCTCTTATCTGTAGTCAGATGGGAAGATGTTGGAGGCTTTTGAGCAGAAGATACTATGATTTAACTTCAATACGGGAACAGCCACTGGTATTGGATACAGAATAGAATGTGTGGGAGCAGGGGAGACAGAACGTATTGCTATAATCTGATGGTTGGTGGTAACTTGCCCAGAGTGGTAGCAGTGGGAATAATAATTAAATTCTAGGTACAGTTTGAAGGTAGAAGCAATGGGATTTTCTGTTCCATGTGAAGGGAAGAAAAGATTCAAAGAGCATTCCAAAAATTTTCTTCTGAGAAAGTGGAAGAATCGAGTTTCCATTTCCATACATAGGGGAAAATAGGAGAGGAGGACATTTGGTGTGGAAATTCGATTTTGAACATGTTGTGTGAAGTGCCTATGAGACATTTAAGTGGAAATGTTATATAGGTAGTTGAATTTGTAAGTTTGGGGGTTAGGGGAAAAATCCAGGTTAGGGATTAAAATTTATGAACTCTCTGTGTATGGTTAGTTTCTAAGGTCTTGAGATGAGGTTGGAATCATTTAAGAAGTAAGTATAGATAAAGAAGAGATTTACAGTTGAGCCTTGGACCACTCCAACATTTAAAGATTTAGAAGACAATTAGGAGCCAGCAAAGGAGATTGAAAAATTCTCTACCTATAAAGTAGGGAGAATTACACACACACACACACACACACACTCCTTTTCTGGTAAACCTGGGTTAAGAAGTAGGAGGCATCAGTCTACTAGAAAGGATGATGCCAAGTTTTTGTGATGTGACAACCAAGAAACCCAAGGAGAAAGGGCCTCTGATAGGGGAATAGCACTTCTGCCCAATCTTGCTCAGACCAACAAATGACTTTAGAATTTGGGGTGAAGATAAAGTGGATGATATGAAGTATGATAATGGGGAAAAGATGGCAACATGGTTGCAAAAGGAGATAAAACTGCATAAGTCTCCTTGTGACTATTAATATAATACCTGCTTTTTGAAAAAAATTAGTGACTATAAGTAAATAAAGAGAATAAAATGCACCATTAATACACACTAAGAGAACCTCTAACATTTTGGTATACTTTTTTTCTAGTTTTTTCATACACACATATGTATAAAAATTAGGATTATATTGTATAGACATTATTATAGTCTTTTTAATTTGATATAATAACAAGACTATTTTTGGAAGATTCATTTTTTATCATCTTTTGGTAAGAGGAGAAAGCTGATCAAAGAGAAGATTGTGTTACTTGAGAAATGTCTGGTCCAATATCAACCAATAAAGTAGAGTATGAGTGTGTGTGTGTGTACATGAGAGAGACAGAGAATTAGGGTGATTGGGACTTGGTGAATTGTGTCTTGGTGACTGAGACGTTGGCTGTGTTACCTCTAGGGACTGAGAAAACAAGGCTGACTAAAGCTTTGCTTATTTTTTATGTCTGGGTGGATTCTGGACTTGTTTTCTGGATAGCTGGAGAATTGTTGGTTTTTCATTACTAGATTACAGCACAAACTGAAAGGGAAAAATATGTGTAAATGCTTTGGTTGATACCTACCAATGTAAAGAGGTAATGAAATTAATTTGCGATACAAAGTAGGTTGTTTTGACTAAATTACTTAGTTTGGTTTTCCCCACATCTTACAAAGAAAATAAATTCCGTATTTCCCCTATGTTTTTCATGTTGTGGGTCCAGTCTAGACACATATACCTTGAAGATTTAATATGGGAATTTTTCCATAAATCTGTGAAAATTGTGAAGAGTCATTTTAGTTTATCAGTAAAGTGTTATGAGCATGATGACAGCAAAATGATTTTTCCTATTGACAACTTTTATGGCACAGACTGATTTTTTTTTTTTTTAAAGATTTTATTTATTTATTTGACAGAGACAGAGAGAGCAGGAACACACGCAGGGGGAGTGGGAGAGGGAGAAGCAGGCTTCCTGCTGAGCCGGGAGCCCGATGTGGGACTCGATCCCAGGACCCTGGGATCATGACCTGAGCCGAAGGCAGTCGCTTAACCAACTGAGCCACCCAGGTGCCCGGCACAGACTGATTCTAAAATAAATGCTTGATGAGATTAGATTCAGAAGATATTGGCAAGACGAGAGCCAGTGAAAATCTCTTTCAAATAAATATAATTAATGAAAACAATAGAAATAACATTCAGCTGTAAACTTCTGACAGCAGTATGTAAAGTGTGTGCCTGTGTGTGTGTGGGTGGGTGTGTATTTCTGTTTGTGTATCACAAGCTCTCTTGTTATGTATGGGTTCTTGATTGGTGAGCACAATTGGCTAGAGGATGGGACTTTACAAGGTCAAGGTCACACATTCCACTGGCCACATAGAGGCAGAAAACTATGTCACAGTCATCAATTGCATCAGAAATTTTATACAGTCATTTCATGGCCATGTATTCTTGGTCACAAAACAACTGGACAAGAGAGTTGGGCTGGCTCAATAATATTAATCACACTATTAGGAAAAATAGGCATACAACTTTCAGCATAGATGCCATACCTTACAGGGCAATGATTTCCACTTTGTGAATGGCAGAATATATACAGACGCTCACAAATGTACAAACTCAACTGCATTAGATGAGAGAAAAAGCCCTACTTAGCCTTAACTCCAATATTTGGCTGAAAACAAGCATACCATAACTGTCTCTCACTTTTTTCCTAGTTAATACTGCATTAATATCAAAGTTTTAGAAGAATATTAACATTCTTTTATAAATATACCATTATTCTTTGTACCTTTATTATTCATTATAATCAAATCAGTGCATCAGAATCTAGGGCTTTTCAAAATCTAAAGCGACATCTTTACATTTTGGCGTTTGGGAAGTCCATCGGGGGAAACAGTGCAACAGCATCGAGAAACGCACTCACGACAGTTCTGCCACTTCACACTGAGGGTCATATGCAATGACAAATGCTGAAACTTGCACCATAGATCAAGTTGGGGAAACATTAGTTCCTGACCATTGCATTTTTGCTTTAAAAATCTCAGCCTACGATCTCCTGACATTGCCTTTTCTGATCGAGCTATACCGATCCCATAATAAAGTACAAAACAGTGTAAGTTCCTCTGCAAACCCACTCACGATCTGCTCGACTTTGGAACCCAACTGCCCTCTCCTCTTCCAAGGAGAATTGTGCTTTTATGGTATTCGTTAAAAAAAGGAGAAGAAAAGAAAAAGGTACAACGTCAAGTCCATAACCTCTAACGAATCACTATTTCCATCTGCAGCCTGGCAATAGGCTAAAAGCAGGAACAGGAAGAGAAAGCCCCTTCTTTTAATCTAAAACTCTTGCAAAACCGTTAACACAAACAGTGTGGATCAGCCTTTCAATATGCAAAATGGATGAAGGTACCCAATTTTCTTTGATAATAAATTAAATCTGAAGTAGTTCCCTATCGGGGACATCCGTTGTAATCTTTCAGTTTCCCCCTTTAAAAATTAGATGCTGGCTATCAAAGCACGTTGGCCATGGGAATAAAATATTTATCTAACAGGTTTCAAGTCTCAACGACCACTTCCTCTTCTTGATTTTTCTTAGACCTTTATGCCTCCCACCTACCACAGTCTTCCCTCAACCCTACTGACAGCCTAGCTGGCACCACAGATAAGAAGCGAACTGTTTTTTCCATGACCTCTAAGCATTCTACTCCAAGGGAAAAGCAACGTGGAATGCACACTCAGCAGGCTACGAGCCCGGAGCCAGTTTGTCCTCAAGGCATTTCTGCAATAAAATCTAATACTATTCACTGTGTTTTGCTCTAAGCTGATCCGTCCCCCACTCCCCTCTCTCCCCTTCCTGCTCTCACTCCGCACCTGGCTGCAATTCTTGACCCACAGGCACACAGCAAACAAAAGCCCGAAACAGCAACAGATTCCTTTGTTTTACATGCAAATCCTACCTCCGGTAGTTGTCACATCTTCCTCAAAAGCCACGCTTAATTTTTAATGACAGCGATCCAGTGCAGTCCTCCAAAGAGCCACCGGTAATCATCATTGCCTCGCGTGCCTAAAGCCTTTCTGGACCATTAATGTCACAACCCTTGCTAACTCATAGCTTTAATACTCTCTGCTCAAAATGTCTGAAAGAGTTTGGGAGGACAATAGGAGTGACAGGCACGCTAGACAGCCATGCTTGAAATTAGTTATCAGAAGCTCCGTGAAAGCTGCTTCACACTGTTTTTAAAGCGTGCAGGAGGTAGGATTTATTAGCCTATGATAGGCATGCTGTTTCTGTTTTTATTAAATACTGTAATAGGCTGTCTGTTAGCAATGCTGTGATAGGTCCAACATCACTTCCCACTGCTTTCGAATTCTCGTATTAAAAAGGGAGAGAGGGCTCAGACTTCCTTAGGAGACCGAGGCGGACACCACCCTGCCTACTGGATCAGATCCAGATCCTCTATAACTACAGGGGAAAGAATTCCTTGTGCAAGTGCTATTTTTATGTGGAAAGTGAAGTTGGGAATAAACACTTTAGGGTTCCCCAGACAATTCTCTCACTCCCAGCAAGGGACTCCTGCTCTCCCCAGTTACAAAAAATAAGTGTCCTCTGGAGTTAGATAAGAGAATCAGTCTCCGTAAGAAAACGTTCCTCATCATTACTGAGGAAGGATTCAGGGTATGCCTAGATGCCAAAATCTCAAATGATGTATCAAATGGGCTGAATGGATCAATGGGCACATTCATTATTTCAGGCTAACTTACAGAGCTTTGTGTTCCCGTTTGAAGCAATCGTGGGTTCACTTTTGACAGCAAAAGTGCGAAGAACGAAGGGTGAGTGGAAGGGGAGGGGGTGATCCATGCTGGGCAGTCATGGTCATGGAAGATGGAAGAAGGATTTCTTACCATTGGTCAGAGATGAGGCTGGAAGTGCTACTCAGAAAAGTTGCTAAGTACTTTTCCAATAGGGAAACAGAAAAAAGTTCTTGGTAGTTCACAGTAACAGAGAGAATGTGTTCTGCTTCAACTACCTAGATTTTGTCCTTTTTTCCCTACTGTTCTTTCTCTCCTCCTGCTATCCCAGGAGCAATAGTTATGTAGTAGTTGCTATGGAAACTGAGTGGTCGCTCCAGCAGAGGGGCTGAGGAAGGGCAGCAGATGGAAAGCGGACAGAAATGTACTATGGCTGGCCTATAGAATTGAAAATAGGGAGTTAATGAACACACAAAAACTACTACAAAACAAACCGGAGGGAATGATTGTAAATCACCATTATTTAATTACTGGTCGTTTTGTTATCTGGAAGTACTATTACGATCACAGCTTCCATTATTAGATTATATGTAAGAACTGAATATCTGATAAAAGAAAGATACTTTTTTTTTTCGCTTTTTTTTTTTCTTTAAACTCCTGGTTGTCAGTTTGAATATGCCTTGATTGTATGTGAATTTTAGTTATTTCTTGACTGGTCACAATTTCTGCTCAGGAATAAAGTGTGATTTAGTGGGAAAATCTCCTTGTATCACGAACTGTAAGCATGTTTCATTCTGAATGAACATCCTTGTAGTGGTTTCTCTGAAGCAAAACCCAAATAAAAAAATACTGTAATTTGAAATTCAATAACTATTTCTGCTCCCATTATGTTGGTAGGACAGAGGAGATTTTTTTTTTTAAATTTTTCACATTCGCAGTTCCTCAAATAGGGGGGAAAAGATTTTTTTTTTTTGTATTCCAGGTCCCAAACCTTCCACCAGCCTTGTGATCATGCAAAAGAAACTAGAGTTTCTTACCAGAGTAATTAAAATTTCACGGTTGTAAGGAGTCAGGGGAATTTTCGTCTTTAGTGCCTCAGTTTGTAATTGGAGTAACTGACAGTACTGAAGGGAGAACACAAACATTCCAAAATAAAATTGTTGGGAGGCTATTCTTCAAGATTTTATGCAAATCCTCTTCTTAAATAGGCAGGCATATCATCCAAAAATTTGTAATGGAAGAAGGATTATTTCAGGGGGAAAGGATTTATGATATTCTCTTAAAAAATGAGAGGGTAGTATTATAAATTGAATATCCCAATTATTTTTTTCAAATGTCAGAAAGTATTTAATGGCAACATATGACAACCTAAACACCATTAACAACACCATGTATCATTTGTGGGGAGGGAGGGAGAGAGAGAGGGAGAGGGAGACGGAGGGGGGAGGGGGAGAGGGAAAAAGAGTGTCAGAAAACTTCCCAGTTGAATATTTCCCTCCAATTCTATGTATGGTTAATTCAGGAGTAGCTGCTGCTCCTACAGGAGACAAATAGGTAAGATTTGGATCCTGGGATGGAGGGAGAGGGCTGGTCTGAGGGCAGGGGTGGTTAGTGCTGCTTTAGCGAGGTTCTGTCCCTGGCAGAGCAAAGATTACACGACTTCTCTGAAGATGAAGGGGGATTACTGAAAGGACCCATCAGATGGGAGTGGGGTCAGGTGCAAAGTGGTTTGTTGGAGGTCCTGGAGGCTGAGCAGAGAATGAGGAAAGGAAGCTCAAGGGAGGGAAAGAAGAGGGAGAGGGATCTATGAGGGAGGAAGGAAGGAATTTCTTGAGGTGGCCTGATGTCAGAACAGGACACAGGCTTTGAAATAAGGAGGCTTGATTTCAACCCTCAGTTCTGTGAGCCCATTTGGGGTCTCGTGTAAAATGGGATGCTAAAATGGCTGTTGTAAGACCACCATGACAAGGGACATGATGAGGGAGGAGTACGGCTCTTCGTTAACTGAATGCTGAAGTAAGTGCTAGTTCTACCTGAGCAGCGAGAAGGAGGGGCCAGGAGGAGGAGGTGGTACAGTGGGAAAGAGGAGGAGTGAAGGAAGGAAGGGCAGGAAGAGAAGGAGAGAAGGAGGTGGAGCTGGGGAAGAGAGTGGTGGGGGGAGTAGAAGAGAAGTTTTCCTGTGAACTCATAGAAGATAGAATTTCTTGTTTGCTTTGTTTTCTGGATCACATGCCAATAACTGCTGTTGCATTTTGGTTCTCCCCCTATAAAAAAGTTTCAGATAATAAAGTGTTCGGAGCTCATACCCTTTTCAACAACAGAAAAACTTAGGCTGAACTTGTTGAAAAGCATGTTCTACCATTTCGGAAACAGCTGATCTGAGGATTGAATTTAGTCGTTCTTAGCATCGCTGTTTTGGATGGTTCCCTGGAGAATGAAGTTTGGGGCAGCAGAAGGCAGGAACTGGAGTGATATTTCAGAGCTATATTGCCAAACACATTCAGCCGGGGTACCCTGTGCATCTGTAACTTGACAACATTTTCAACAACATCTGCTCTCTGAATGCACATAAAAAAAAACTTGTTCTGGAAAGAATTTGTGTGTGTTAACAAATATTAGGTGGAGAACTGAAGCCTGTGCAAGAGTGTTGTGATCACATAGTCAGAGAGTTTACAGTTGACACACACAGCCTGCAAGTGAAACCATTTAATGAATGGAACAAAGAATGCATAATTTCATTATGAGTCATCACTATTAAAAAAAAAATGATAGATACATAACCAGAAAGTGTAGCTATCTGTTCCAGATACAAGAGCTAATTATATTTTGGAGTATATAATTTATGCTCTGAGTAACTGCTTTTCCTTTGTTGTGACTATTTTTCTAGGAACAACAGGAAAGTTACTGTAGAAACCACTTCCTTCCTGTTATATTCCTGTCAGTGCTGAAGCTGACTCACTCTGAAGTCCAAGTTTAGATCCTTGAAAGAGGCACTCTCTAGTATAAACGTGAAATTTTGGCCCTAGAAAATAATGACAAGAAAACAGTTGAAGACAATGTGACATTTAAAGCACGTGTCTGATTTCCAAGACACAATGAAATGCCGTTCATGGGTCTACCTCACTTTTCATGAAGATATTCCTTCTGATTAGAGGTTAAAAAAAAGTTCAGTAAGGATATGATAATTTCTGAAACTTTACATGTATATATATTCAAACACATCATATTTGATCATCAGAACAAAGTTATTGGGAGGCAGGGCAGATATGAATAGTCCCATTTCCATCTGGACGACTGAGGATGAGGGAGGTCAAATGATTTTCCTAAGATCACATAGCCTGTAAGTAGGTCTTCTAATGCACAATCCAGTGCAATTTTTACTTCATGAAAGTTTACACTTAGCTCCGAATATTTGTCCTGAAATATTCAGAAATATAAGCACTAGAAGAATTTTTTTAACCTTTATAAAGTATAAATTGGAGCTTACTGCCATGTTTTTTTTTTTTTTTTTCCTTTCCATCTGGCATATATTCAAGCTGGGTTTTTCACTTTTTTGTTTTGCAGCCCTTCATGTTTTTAAGGTAGAGTTGGTAAACCTTTTAAAAAGATAAACAATAAATTTTTACAATCCTGCTGACTACAGAATGGACACTGAATAGGATTTCCTGTTAATGGCAGCAGCAGAACAGGACTCTGACCTATGGGCCTAGAAGCACGAACCCACCTAGTAAGGCCATGATTTGGATTGTCATCCTGAATTCTTTGATTGCATTTCTATCTGCTTAAAAATTAGAGAAAGGCCTGCAGAAACTCCTAGCCCCACCTTCTGTCAGCACTTAGTCCTTTCTGTAGGTTCCCGTAAATGACCATTCTGTATGCTTGTAGTTGAAATGGGAAAAGGAGGTAGACGATTATAGAATATATACCTCGATGAATTTATCTGAATTTTCAGAGTAGTAGAAAAACATGCCCTCTCTACCTCTCTACCATGCCCCCTCCCAGCAAACACAGATAGAGATGCCCGAGCCTCGCCCGGATGCCCATGAGAAAGCACTGGTACCAGCTAGTCTAGCCAGCTTTCTGAAGCCATCATTCTTTAGCTGAGCCATTGCATTTGGCGGACAGCTTATTGGGGCTGCCTTTCCATCCTTCTGAAGCCTGTCAGAGTATTGGACATAAATCAGCTTAAAAATAAAACGTAAAATAGAACGTTGACAGTTGTTGGAGTTTTATTTCATTTGGATTCTCCTGCTTCCCAGGGCCTCACTGCAATTTTCCTGCTTACTGGAAACAGGTACTAGAGCATGGTAACCCTCAGGGCATAGTGCATCCGTGTGTAACCAATGAGAAGATGATCGCTAGTTACCGTTATTATTATTATTATTATTATTATTATTATTATGACTTATGGTGTTGCAGTAATGTGTACACCATATAGCATTAGACACAATACCTCCTGCTTTCAATGGAAGTTAATTAAAAGACCTCTGTCTTAAAAACAAGACAAATCCCTTTTATGCAGAAGACTCCAAGATTAGGTACAAAGGACAAAGATTCACA